TTTGTGCCCAGGCCTACTTAGAGACAAGAATTGTTGCGAAAGAAACAAAACAAACAATGCTTTCTCAACACTTAGATTCATTGTTCTTTAGATACTCCTTGAGAACATCCATAATCGAACCGGTGGATTCGCCAATCTACAAGCCATCTCCTTTATGTTCTTTGAATGATAAGAATGTACTAGGTTTGATGCGTACTCTTGCAAATCTAATAAAGTGTAGAAAAGCATCTCTCACAATTCTGTACGACCACAGAGCAAGTAATCCAGCTCACAAGGGGTGAATATTTGTAGATAATCATCTGGAGAAACAAAGAGGTTTTGTAAGAATACAAAAGCAGGCAAAAGTTTGAGGTCGGATTAAAACAGAGACAACAAAAATTCATCTCTAATTAACAAAAACAAATTAAGTATAAACCAAATTTGTTTTCTTTTATTTCAAATCAAAACCAATAATGTTTTTTTCGAATATCTCCAAACAAATTTTCACATGGAAAGTTGTTACACTCCTTCCTTTTCATTTATCCTATCTTAGCATGGAAGCTTGAAACCCATGTCCTTGCCATAAAATCAATCCATGCCACAATGTCCATTACGAATTGTCCACATAAACATGTGATACGATCCCAATCGCGAATCGGGACTTTGATCGGAGCTAACTCGTGAACGGTAGATTTTACGATAAGGTGTTCGCGGAGATGGTTAAGGGAAAGAGATAGAGATGGACGTGAATACAATCACTCGAGTGATGAGGAATTTGGTGAAGGGTAGAGGCTTGATCAACTTGGATATTACGCACCAAGAAGAAGGAGGATTCTCTCGAAGAGAGAATTACCGAAAAGTGTTTAAGTTTTCGGCGGTTTGATCACAAGTAAGAGAAGAGATTTCTTTGATTCTAAAAACTTGGATGATCTTATTATGAAGGGGYAGAGCACATATATATAGTCCTAAGGAAGGTTACATGCAACCTTCCTAGGAAATAACAAAAGGATTAAATGAAGAACATGCAAAAGTCTTTGGAAAAATGATAAACTTGTAATAAAAACGAAATGGGCTTAAGAAGGCTTGGGCTTGGGCTTCATGGATTTGATGTTGAGAAACCCAAAAGGAAGATCGCGAAAATGGCTAAGTGAAA